CATGAGAGCAAAATTAGATTTGGTACTTGAAATGTTGGGACATTGAATTGTAAATTTGTAGAGGTTGTAGGGGTTATGATTCAAAGGAAAATCAATATCCTTTGTCTGCAAGAAACAAAATGGCGTGGAGAAGAAGCTAAGGATATTCAAGGTTTCAAATTTTGGTATACAAGAAAAGTAAGCGCACGCAATGGAGTAGACATCATTATGGATAAGGAGTGGAAGAAGAATATTGTAGAAGTTAGCAGAATTGGAGACAAAATTATTTCCTTAAAAATGATAATTAGACGTGAGACTGTTAATATTGTTAGCACTTATGCGCCGCAAGTCAGGACAGAAGCCAGTCTTAAGAAATTATTTTGGGAGGATCTGGAGGGGTTGATTTGACACATACCACAGAGTGAAAAAATTTTTATTGGAGGAGACTTTAATGGGCATGTTGGGAAGGAGGTTGGTCAGTATACGGGGGTGCATGGTGGTTTTGGTTTTGGAGAGCTAAACAATGAAGGACAAACTCTTCTTGATTTTTCATTGGCATATGATTTTAAGATTGCCAACACTTGTTTCAAGAAGAGAGATAAGCATCTCATCACTTACAAAAGTGGAGCCTCAAGTTCACAGATTGATTTTCTTTTGGTTAGGAACACAGATAGAAGATTTTGTAAAAATTGCAAGGTGATCCCCGGAGATGCTGTAATGACACAATATAGAATCCTAGTCCTTGATGTGTGTATTATGAGTAAAATCCAAAAGCGTCGACAAGTAGTAGCACCAAGGATTAGGTGGTGGCAATTAAATGGTGAGAAGCAAGATATTTTTAAGCGAAATCTTTTGGACAAAGGAATTTGGGAATCTCAGGGAAGTGCTAACATCATGTGGAAGGATATGGCTAAAAAGATACAGGAGGTTGCAAAAGTAGTTTTGAGAGAATCAAAAGGTTCTGGTTCGAGAAATAAGGAGTCTTGGTAGTGGAATAATAATGTACAGGACAAAATCAAGTATAAGAAGATCTGTTCTAAAGCTATACATTTGTGTAACAATGAGAAAAATTGGGAGAGATACCATATGGCTAAGAAGGAAACTAAGAGAGCTGTGGGTAAAGCTCGTTCTAAAGCTTTTGAGGAATTTTATAAGAGCCTTGAGACGAAGGAAGGAGAACGAAACATTTATGAAATTACCAAGAGTAGGGAAAGAAAATCAAGGGATCTAGAACAGGTAAGGTGCATTAAAGATGAAGAGGGAAGAATTTTAGTTACAGATGATAAAATTAAAAATAGATGGGAGACTTACTGTTCCAAACTTTTCAATGATGGAGAGGGTTCATCTAGTAACTTGGAGGATTTAGTAACTGGTGAAGGAGAACAAAATTTATCATTCTATCGAATAATACGTGATAAGGAGGTAAAGGAAGCTCTTAAGAAAATGGCAAATGGTAAAGCCAATGGACCTGATTGTATATCTATCGAAGCATGGAAATGTTTAGGTGAAGAAGGGATGAGATGGTTAACTAAGTTATTTAATGCGATCTTACGGTTCAAGAAATGCCTGATGAGTGGAGGAGAAGTACATTAATTCCTATTTATAAAAATAAAGGAGATGTCCAAAATTGTACTAACTATAGAGGGATTAAACTCATGAGCCACACAATGAAATTGTGGGAGAAAATAATTGAGCACAGGTTGAGATTGGAGACAAGTATTTCTGAGAATCAGTTTGGTTTTATGCCAGGTAGATCAACTACAGAGGCGATTTATCTACTAAGGGGATTAATGGAAAAGTATTGTTGCAAAGATAAAGATTTACACATAGTTTTTATTGATTTGGAAAAAGCTTATGACCGTATACCAAGAGAAGTGCTTTGGAAAGCATTGAGAAAAAAGGGAGTACGGATTGCTTATATTAAAACCATACAAGATATGTATGAGGGGGTAAAAACTAGTATAAGAACACCTAGTGGTCAAACAAAGGATTTTTCTATAAAGATTGGACTACATCAGGGATTATCTCTAAGTCTTTATCTATTCAACTTGATCCTAAATGTTTTGACGGAGCATATTCAAGGGGAAATTTCCAAATGTATACTCTTTGCGGATGATATAGTTCGTATAGCAGAGACAAGAGAAGAGGTTAATTGCAAACTTGAGTTATGGAGGAGGACATTGGAGTCGAAAGATTTCCGTCTGAGTAGGAGTAAAACAGAATATTTATATTGTAAATTTAGTAAGAGACTATTTGACAATAATTTGGAAGTGAAATTGAGAGATCAAATTATACCTCAAGTGGAAAAGTTTAGATATTTGGGAGCCATTATTCAAAATGATGGCGAAATCAGTGGAGATATATAGAATTCAAACTGGGTGGTTTAATTGGAGAAAAGCTAAATGAGTTATTTGCGACCGTAAGGTGCCTAATAAACTAAAAGGAAAGTTTTATCGCACTGCTATTAGACCGGCAATGTTATATAGTAGTGAATGTTGGGCTCTAACGGGACAGCAAGAGCATAAAGTTGGAGTAGCAGAGATGAGAATGTTACGATGAATGTGCGGACATACACAACAACAACAACAACAACAACAACAAGCCTTTATCCCACTAGGTGGGGTCGTCTACATGGATTGCAAGACGCCATTGTGCTCTATCATTTATCAAGCTTTTAGGAATATTATTAATTAAGAGATCGCGTTCAACAACTTTCAAGAGTGTTCTCTTAGGCCTTCCTCTACCGCTCTTAATCGGACTCAAAGTTATATGTTCCGCTCTTCTCACTGGTGCCTCCTTTGGTCTTCTTTGTACATGCCCAAACCATCTCAACCGATTTTCTACCATTTTTTCCTCAATAGGTGCCACCCTCACTTTTTCGCGTACATGCTCATTTCGAATTTTATCTTTACGTGTATGTCCGCACATCCATCATAACATTCTCATCTCTGCTACTCCAACTTTATGCTCTTGTTGTTCCGTTAGAGCCCAGCATTCACTACTATATAACATTGCCAGTCTAATAGCAGTGCGATAAAACTTTCCTTTAAGTTTATTAGGCACCTTACGGTCACAAATAACTCCTTTAGCTTTTCTCCAATTAAACCACCCAGCTTGAATTCTATATGAAATATCTCCACTGATTTCGTCATCATTTTAAATAATGGCTCCCAAATATCTAAACTTTTCCACTTGAGGTATAATTTGATCTCCCAATTTCACTTCCAAATTATTGTCGAATATTCCTTTACCAAATTTACAATATAAATATTCCGTCTTACTTCTACTCAGACGAAAACCTTTCGACTCCAATGTCCTCCTCCATAACTCAAGTTTACAATTAACCTTTTCTCTTGTCTCTGCTATAAGAACTATATCATCCGCGAAGAGCATACATTTCGGGATTTCCTCTTGAATATGTTCCGTCAAAACATTTAAAATCAAGTTGAACAAATAAGGACTCAGAGATGATCCCTGATGTAATCCAATTTTTATAGGAAAATCCTTTGTTTGACCACTAGGTGTTCTTATACTAGTTTTTACCCCCTCATACATATCTTGTATGGCTTTAATATAAGCAATCCGTACTCCTTTTTTTTCCAACGCTTTCCAAAGCACTTCTCTTGGTATACGGTCATAAGTTTTTTCCAAATCAATAAAAACCATGTGTAGATCTTTATATTTACAACGATACTTTTCCATTAATCCCCTTAGTAGATAAATTGCCTCTATAGTTGATCTACCTGGCATAAAACCAAATTGATTCTCAGAAATACTTGTCTCCAATCTCAACCTGTGCTCAATTTCTTTCTCCCATAATTTCATTGTGTGGCTTATGAGTTTAATCCCTCTATAGTTAGTACAATTCTGTGCGGACATACACGTAAAGATAAAATTCGAAATTAGCACGTACGCGAAAAAGTGAGGGTAGCACCTATTGAGAAAAAAATGGTAGAAAATCAGTTGAGATGGGCTGGGCATGTACAAAGAGGACCAAGGGAGGCACCAGTGAGAAGAGTGAAACATATAACTTTGAGTCTGATTAAGAGGGGTAGAGGAAGACCTAAGAGAACACTCTTGGAAGTTGTTGAACGCGATCTCTTTATTAATAATATTTCTAAAAGCTTGATAAATGATAGAGCACAATGGCGCCTTGCAATTCATGTAGCCGACCCCACCTAGTGGGATAAAGGCTTGTTGTTGTTATTGTTGTTGTATTAATATCAAAACCTCAGGATTTTCCCTTCTCATTTAATTCTGTCACTGTATTTTCTGCATTTAATATTGCATTTTCTGGTTGAGTCCCATTAGCTAACCATAGCCTATCAGTATAGCCTACCCTGTACAACCATTGACTTCCTACTAGTATACTTGTGCGCCCTATGATACTAATAATATTACCTATTCTGACAAGACTAATGAGGCTAATTACTGTGAGGGAGTGATGATGATTCTACTATTTACGGACCTGAATGAGCTGAATATACATCTCATTAATATAAAACAGTTACAAATGATATATAGACACTTGTACCGAGAAGCATCTACACAAATGTACAAGAAAGAGTAATCAGTTATACCTGAAAGCTATAAAAAAATGTATAAAACCACAAATACGATTTTCCCTTTTGTCATAACAAGGATCCAATAGTGATAGAGATCAATGGCAAAACGACATGAGAGGAGAATGAGTTTTATAATGTTGCATAGGGTTTCGTGATTCAGGCTGAAACTTAGTGTGGAGTGTCTTGCAGCTCAATATGTGAGGAATAGTTTGAATTGTCTTCTGCTACTTTATCTTCCTAGGAGAGTGTGCTTTTGCTGCAATTTCTTGCGTTTTCCCTCAGTGTTTCACTTTTGTAACATAGATACTCAGCTTTTATATTATAAATCATATAGAAATCGCAGAGTTTCATCAATTAATCTTGTAAAACTTGAAATACATTTATGACATTGTGTTGTAAACCCATTAAATTTGTTACTGTGTAATATTTATTATCTATTGCTCTTTGCCAATTTAGGCTGTGAAGACTCAATCTACTCTTCGTCAGTTGGACAAAACACCATCACAAAGATTGCTCCAGGTCATTGGTAAGCTTTTAAATAACTTTGTCTTGATTGATAGTATTGCAAGAAATTTTCAGCAATCGGCACAGTGCTGCATGCCATGAATTCTTTAGAAACTCTCTTTTAATTTCTCTCTTCTCCTGGGAAGAGTGGCAGGGCCTGTCTATTACCATCCCAGTTGTTATCACTGCTGGGATGGCAGAGACTGGCCCAAATTTCTGGCCAAGATTCATATGATATAGAGAATGTGCAACAGCAGCCTTATCTTTGATATAATTGTTTGATGTTTCGTGTCAAGCTTTTCTTTATTTTCTTATTAAAAGAAAATTTAAGAGAAAAGCGCACAAACTGCTTTTATGCTGAAGAGAAGGTCATTTAAGTTTTACTTTGAATGATTATTATGTTTTCTATAATGAGAACTGGTATGTACTTTTAATTCGGTGCTGTTTTTACCCAATAATTTCATAGGTTAAGGAAAAATCATGGTTTAATGTTCTTGATGTTATTTGCGGTATTTATTTGAAGTAGTCTGTTACTACAATTTTCCAGATGGTTCCTCCATGGTGTTCCTAAAGGATATTTCCCTGACCAATATTGAGGAGAATTCGAAGATATTTTTCTCTGAATGTTGTTTGTGGCAAATCAGATTTAGCATTTATTATAAATAATTTTTCTTTATTATAGGGAGATGAGTTAGGTTTAGTTTTTTCATACCTCTTGACTTGTGTATATATGATCCCCATGTACAGCGAGTTTAAATAAATCAATGAGAAGTTCTTCATTTTGCCACATTGTTTAGCAAATTTATAAATTATGTTTTATTTTTATTTTTATTTTTATTAATTTTGAGTTTTTCTTTTGAAGAATATGCTATCCTCAATTTTTTCTGTAGAAATGAAATTTTTATATAGGAATTTTTTATAGTAGTCTTTAAATTCAGTGGTGAAAATGATAATTCTAAATGGGTTTTACTATCTTTTTCTTGAGTTCATAATTCATATAGATGTTAAAATGGAATATGGAATCTAGTTTTTTAATTGTTATCTTTATCAACAGCACTGTTGATCTGTTTCCTTCACCATAGGCTGTTGAACCATTAAATGCTTTGTGATTGGGGTGTCAGCATTTTCTTAATTGCTTAACTGGGCCTTGGAGCACTGCTCGATTACTTGTATTTCCTTTTTTTTTTTTTATGCAGGAAAGGATATGAGAATTATAGTTTTTGGTTTCAGATCTCGTACAAAACAGGTAATATTAACAACGAGAGTAATTTTGGCTTTTGTATTTGTTACAGATTATAATAAAGCTATACCTGAGTTTCTGTTAACAGTTTATTCTTGTAAGTTGAATTGGTCATTGAAAGCATTGTAAAACTTAAAAGATTTCTAATATTTCTCTTATTTTTTTAAAGGGATAATGCAATTGTTAGTACCTTACGTTTGGGAGTCTTAATTACTGAGGTCTTATTGATTTTACTATTTCATAGTTCCTAATTTAATCTACGTGACTTTTCTTGCTTCCCACATTATTAATCTACATGGCTGCAATATCAGTGTTCTGTTAGCTACGTTAGCATAATTTAACGGTGTTAATTTCTCTGATAAGTTCAAGGACTGCCTAGATAAGTTTATGAAACGTTAAGGAATAAAATGATAGAAATTAAACTTGAGGGACCAAATCAACAACTTTCCCAAATTTAAGGGACTAAAAGTTATATCATTCCTTTTTCAAATTATATGTTTAATTTATATAAATTCAAAAATTAAATCCGAATGACATTTTTAATATTTTAAAATTTCTCCTAAAACATTTTTTAATCTAAATTTAATTTCTTAGTAAAAAAAATATAAATTTATGTTATATTTTAGTATTCAAACAATTATTGGTCATAGGTAATGGCACTATCTCAATGTATTGTTTGGTACTAGAAAATAAAGTTCTTTCACCCATAAAATATAACGTCTATTGTTGTTATTTGATATGTTTGGCATGACTTTTTTAAAATTATTATAAAATATTGGATTAAAATTTTATTAGACTTTTTATCTATGATTGTTTTTCCATATCGTTTAAACAGTTAACCTTTTCATGGCACTTGCAATTTTTGACACACTTTATTCTCTCATGAACAGTGCAAATATGTAATTTTCCTTCCATTTCTTAGTTTGTTTTTGTTTCAGGAAAATTTTACCTGATCTATCATAGAATTAATTTTATTTCATAAAATGGAAGTACTTAAATACAAGCATTCAATTTAGTTTTCCAGAAACAGTTCATTTATAAATAGTAAAAAAGCTTGGTTCTCTTTTTATGTCTTGTTTATTGTAATTCTTTTTATTGCAATATGGGAAATATATGACATGAAAGAGAATATGCCACATATCATTTACAAGATAATTTAGCTTAATTAATAAATTAATCAACTTTGAAACATTTCCAATACCCTTAGTGTGCTTTAACTTGCCGTCTTTTTTTCCTCCCTCAATAGAGAAATATTTTGTAAGATAATGTAGCTTGATTAAGTAATTTATTTTAGTAATACCTTTTTTTTTATTATTATTGAAAGAAAACTAATAGACAATGGTTCTTTTTAAGAAGTTATGTCGGAGGGCTATTTATGGAGCCTCAAATACAATGACTAAATTAGCTTAAACTTAAAAAAGAAAATAAAAATGAATTTAAAACAACACAAAATAATACCTGAGTTTTAAGATAAAATTAATTACTAAAACATAAAATTAACAACGCAAACTATAAATTTAACTAAAATCTCTTGCGCCTAGATGAAGATTTTCCAAATTGCCCATCAGTGAGAAGCATTAATCCTTCCTGCCTCTCTGTTCAAGTCAAGGCTGGCTTGCACCTTGTTCACTCTAAAAAGCACTTTGGGCTCTTGTGCGAGGGGCGTGTTAAAAGATATTAATAAAAGCAATCATATGAGTTCGCTTAGAAGCTTAAGGGCATTGAAGTGGTGATTGATGAGTTGTAACAAGATATTTAGTAGCTATTGTATTTGATGTGGAGATGGAGTCCTGTTTTTTCTTTAATAATTTTTTTTATGTTGTGATGGGTGGTTTATTTGAGGGTAAGGAGCACTTTGTTTTTGGTTAATGTTTGCTTAAATAATCAGTAATTCTCATATTTTTCTTCTCTGTATAGGATTCTTATTGTGGTTTTTGAAGTATTCAAAATTATATGATATCTGAAGAAAAAGTCAAGGAAGTTTGTATTTTGACATTGTTGTAAGCCAGTGAGAATGTTATTGTCTTGTTGTAAAGAAACAACCATTTATGTGGTTGCTCTTCATATCTTCTATTTAGTGTGGGATCTTATGTTGGTTGTTAATTTACAGAGACGGGCAATATTTGAAACATTACTGAGATTGACAAAGCCTGCGAGACTTTGGGATCTCTATCCTTTTGTATCAAGGCCTTCTAGTTTAAGGAACACAAACCCAAAAGTTCGTTTACTGGATGAGTATTTTCGGCTTCTTGGGAAAGGATCTTATCGTGGATCAATTGATATGATCAGAAATGGGTCCTTTACCTTGTCCAATGCCTTGTGGAGAATAAGTAGTGTGAATTCCAACTATACCATGTGTCAAACTTATCCATTTGCATTGATTATTCCAAAGAGCATTAGGTAATTTATTGAGGTTCAAATTTTCTTCCTTTTCCAATTAGTCTTTGCTTAAATAAAATTCAATCGACAAATCCATTTATTTGATATCTTTGCATTGTCCCATTGCTAGTGATGATGAAGTGGTTCAGGCTTCCACTTTTCGAGCAAGATGCCGGCTGCCTGTAGTTTCATGGTGTGATCCTGGTATATGAGAAATACGTTTTTTTTTTTCATAGATGTTATTTATTCTATTCCTCTCATTGTGTTCTTATCCCCTTTTCATTCTTTTTGTAGTATTGAAATTTAATAGATCACTTCCTTTATGCTCTAATTTGGCTGATGAACTATAGGTACTGGTGCAGTCCTTGCTCGTTCATCACAACCCTTAGTTGGTCTTATGATGAATATGAGAAGGTAATGTACACTACTCAATCAACTTTATCCTCTTAGTATTTTTAAGGAAGGGGGTAAAACTAGAGAAGTTTTTACTTTCCTGTTATTGCTTGCAGCAACACAGATGAAAAGCTTGTGGCTGCACTTTGCAACAAACTGGATGATGGTTCACGGAGGTAAGATTGTAGCTTCTCTTTCACATGTTTTACCATGCTATATTATAGACTTGCAATATGAATATATGCTGTTCTTTGCCGCATAAATATAAAGCATCAGCGTTATATGTGATAGTAAATATCTTGGAGTCCATGACCATATCAAATATTGATGCATCAATATTTTCAAATTAGAAATTCTTTCTCCATAAATCAAAATTTCTTTTTATCCTTAATCACTTTTCTATAATATATCACTAATTCACTAAATAACTGCAGTACACTATATATTTACCTCAGGTGGTTGCTTATATGATTTTGTGGTTAAGTTGGTTTGTATTTTTTTCCCATTTTAGGAAGCTATACATTGCTGACGCGAGACCAAGGAAAAATGCATTAGCTAATGTGGCCATGGGGGGTGGTTCAGAGTCATCATCAAATTACTTTCAATGTGAGGTCTGTGGAAAGTTCTTATTGTGCTCAATTGGTTTCTTTTGGTGATTATGTTATCATGTTATTCTAATTTCTAAATGCTTCAATTTATGCTTTACATTCTCAGGTAGTCTATTTTGGGATAGACAACATCCATGCAATGAGAGATAGCTTTGCTAGACTCAGAGAGTACTTAGATACTTATGGCAAAGCATCATCAGATGGAATGTCATCTTTTTCGGTGAGCCTATAAATCATATAAAGACTCAGTTATTTGTAATATAGATCACATGTCAAGGGTATTAGATGGTACTCCTTTAAACAAAAGAGATATCAGATTTTATTTAACCAAGCTTTTGAGTTGAACAGTGCAATTTACTCTTTCTTTTTTTTTTTTGGTTTTTTTTTTTTTGAAGAAATTGAGGGAAGAATCTTCATTGTGAATGTTTTATATTACAATCAGCTTTGCTAGAAGTTTTTTTGCCAAAAGAGTTAACAAATTGATGTGATTCTTGTGGTAATTAGCTCAATACCATAGTCAGCAACTCTGAAGAGTGGCAGATTTGAATGATGGTGCAGGGTGCTGAATTTAAGACATCTACTGATATAGGTTATGAACCTTTTGTTGTCATTTTGAAGTTTTTGTTGGCTATTTTCTTATGTCAGCACGTGTATTAAGGATGCAATGAGGACATGGGGAAATTAGTTATGATATGCCAAAAGGTTTGGTTAAAGTTGGCTATTTTCCTGTACTTAGGTGTGTTATTCCCTACCTGTCGCTCTTTTTTTTCTCCCCCTTTCTATTCAGATCTGATTCTTATTTATTTTTTGGTCTTTATTATTCCCAGTATTTTGGCAGAATCTTCTCAAGATGTTTGAGAGTTTGTATCCATAAAACATACTTCTATTCAGTGAATAAATTATCTTTTATGGCATCACAAAATTCTTCATGGTATCAAAGCAACCATGACCCTGTTCAGGTTTGGCTTGAAAGCTGAAGGCCTGGGTAATCAGATGGTGCTGTTTTAATGCAACAAGTATAGTCCATAGCTTTTTTCAGCAAAGCTTTATCACCTTGACACTTAAAGCTGTCTATCTATGGGAAGGCTTAGAGAGAAAGTAAATTCATTATCAGAACAGGCCAACAGAGTTTGATGTATGTACTTGGGGCAGAAATTGGGAACTTCCATCCAAATGTACTACATAGCCAAGTTGATTGGATATGGCCATGGAACATGTTACAAAAAGGGCAATGATCAAGATTACATGGGCCACAATTATTACAAATGGCTCTTGACACCACTTCTCCTGAGATAAAATTGAAAGATGGAGAAAGAAATGATGCTGACTTAACAGCAGTAATTTCTGAGTTATAGAAGCAAGGAGGTAGCATAGGGTAGTGCACGTGTGATGGAAAAATTTTAAGAAGAAATGGCAAATTGGTGATTGGGAATGATGCAGCATTGCAATAGTAGTTGCTTCAGTGGTTGCATACTAGTCCTCAAGGTGGACACTCAAGAACACAAGCCACATACCAAAAAATTAAGAGTTGGTTTTGGTGGAAGAAAATGAACAAAGATATACAGGATTTTAATAAGAATTGTGACGCTTATGCCCACTATAAATATGAAATAGTAGCAACTCCTGGATTATTGCAGCCACTACTAGTTTGAAGTAAGGTTTGGGAGAGTGTAACAATGGACTTTATTGAAGGTTTACCAAAATCTGGCCAAAAAGATGTAATTTGGGTCATTGTGGATTGAAGAGCAAATTATCCCATCTTTTATCTCTCTCACATCTGTTCTCAATAGCCACACTTGTCCAGTCTAGATCAAGGCACCTGTGGATGTTACTAATTATAGGGATCTAGTGTTCATAAGCAACTTTTGGAAGGAATTTTTGAAGGTGATTAAGATTGAGCAAAAGCGTACTTCCTACTACCCTCAAATGGATGGTTAGTTTGAAGTGTTAAATCGTTGCCTATTAGAAAAATCCTTACGAATGAAGCAAGTGGTTATAACTAGATGAGTGGTGGTAGAACACTAGATTTCATACTTCAACAAAGGCAACTCCATATGAATTGCTTTGGGGTTAGAAAGTCAGAAGCCCTTTATTTATACACCTTATTTAGCTCGATAAGCGATAGCAGAAATGATGGACAAAAGTTAAGGCTAGAGAGTGCTTAGTTGCTGTACTGAAGCACCATCTGAACAGGGAAGCCAATCAAATGAAGCGAAAAGCTGACTTAAAGTGATTTGATTGTGAATTTAAAGTGGTAGTGAGTTTTTTTGAAGCTACACCCGTATAGAGAGATCTCTGCAGCCTCTAGAAGCATTCAGAAGCTAGTACCAAGATATTTTGGACCATATAGAGTTGTCAAAGTTGCCTACAAGCTAGATTTACCCCTTGAGTCTAGAATTCACTCTACCTTCCATGTGTCACTACTTAAACTATGTTCATACCCATCTGTTAAGCAGAGACATCTCCCAAATGATTGGCCAGATGCTCCGACAACCTTAACTCCTATGAGGATACTGAATAAAAGGGTTGGATGACAGAAAGGGAGGATTATCACTGAAATTTTGGTTTAATGGAAAGGAATTCCTGATGAAAAAGCTCCTTGGATGTCACAATTCAATTTTCAGTTGCAGTTTCCAAATTTTCCTATTCCCATCCCTTGAGGGCTAGGGTTGTATTGCAGGGGGTTATTGATATGTTAAAATAAAGTGACAGGGAACCTTGCTGCCAGTGACTGTTAGGACTGAAACTCTATAAATACTTGGTCTATTGACTGTTGTTGTTACTTTTTGTCATTAATGAGAAGTGCAATTAGATTCCCTTGTTCTCTATCCTCCCCCCTCCCTCTCGCTAACTGTTCTTCTCTCTGGTCCTTCTGATTCTCATCTATCCTTCATATTAGGTTCCCTCTGTTACACAATACTGCACTTATCTGGTTATTCAATGGCAGCAGCTTGACCTCTGATCCACATAAATCAAGTGCTGCAGTGCCACAATAAAGAAGAAAGGAGAATCTTCAAATATCTTCTTGGTTTAGATTCTTTGTTTGATGAAGTCCAAGGGTGGAGACTGAAAAGTAAATTCATCATGACTGAACTCAAAGTGTGGATATTTAGAGGTACTTCATCAAGGAGAAAATGGAATCAAAGGTGATGGCCTGGCCTGCATATGTTCTTACCCTAATTCTTGTACTGGGGTTTTTTGCTCCCTACCTGTTGCTTTTTTCCCCTTTCTATTGAGTTCTGATTCTGATATATTATTTGGTCTTTATTATTCCTAGATCATGGTAGAATCCTCTCAAGATGTTTGAGAGTTTGTATCTATAAAACCTACTTATATTCAGTGAATAAATTATGTTTTATGACATCACAACATTCTTCATTTAATAATATTTCCAAAGGTTTGGTTATTGATAGAACACAATGGCATCATACAATCTATGTAGTCAACTTCACCTAGTAGGATAAAGTTTATTGTTGGAGTTGGGTTGATACACACTCCTCATATACACACCACAATTGTCAGATACAATGTGCCTACTTGATTTTCGTTGGTAAAAACTGTTTTTTGGTCTTAAAAATAAAAAACTTGTTTGGGTACTTGTTTCGGATTTAAATGTTTTTAAAGCCATTCTCCATTTTTGTTTTTAAAAACAAAAAATGGAAAAATCTAAGCTATTTTCATTCTTTTTTTTTTAGAACACATTGTATTTGACTATTGTAAATTACTTTCAGCTATGGTCAACCACTATCATAGGCCACTATTATTAACCACTGTTGACCATCACTATTGGCCAATTCCTTAACCCTACAAATGTTGTTAGATTAATATAATCAAACAGCTTTTCTTTTTGTTTTGTTTTGAAAAACAACCTTTAAAAGTCGGTTTACAAAATAACTTTTAAAAACAAAAAATGGCAACAAAACCAAACAAGCCTGATATTTCCTGTTCTTGTTTTCTCTTCTTTTCATATATTGGTATTAGTGCCAGGCTTCTATACTAGGACTGAAATTATTTTCTTCTGTTTTGATACTATTGTAATGATGTATATATTGTGTAATTAGTGTGGTATTTAGTAGTTGGTTAAGGGTTAATTCTCTAGCATTTATTATCTTTGCCTACTTCTTTTGTATAAATACATCAAAAAGTTTTCCTCTCAATATTTTATCATGGTAGTAGAGCTTTAGTTGCTTGCACCTTTTCTGGCGAGTCATGCGTCTCCATGCACCTCCCATCTTTTTCTGACCAGAATCCTTGCGTCAGTGCTTGACTGTGCATCTAGACTTCTTTCCATCACCAGTCAACTTCGTTCTGCTCAGAGTCCTCATCTCTCTTTGTTCCAGCAATGTTACAAAAAATACCTCTGACAATGCTGTGTCTTCCACCATTACTGCTTCAGGAGACCTGCAAAGTATTCCAAAAGATTATAAGTTGAACGATAAGTTGGTCTCTGTATGTTTGCACTTTTTTAGAATGGATGTGGAAAACTTAGTCATTTACTTGGAATGGGTTCTAAGCCAGGAGATCCAACGTTTGATGCTTGGGATGGAGAAGACTCATTAGTTATGTCTTGGTTGTGGAACTTGGTGATTTCCAAAGTGAGTCATACATGTTTATTTCTATCTTCAACTAAGGAAATTTGGGACACTCGGCATCAGACATGCTCAAAAGTAACAGATGCAGCTTAGATTTATGAGATCAAAACCAAAATTTCCAGCATTAAGCAGGGAAATAAATCATCATTCAATTCTCTACTCTTATGAAGAGTTTATGGCAAGAGTTAGGTCATTACTAATGTATTACTATGAAATGCTTTGTTGGAAAGGAGCGGATTTTTTAGTATCCTGTAGGAGTAAATGCAGAATTTGATCCTGTAAGAATCCAAATTTAGTGCTTAGTCTCCAAGCTGGGAATGGATACTATCCAATCACCAGCTTGACGAGGAGTGTTAAAATGATGTAAATATTGTGTAAATAGTGTAGCATTTAGTAGTTGTCAGTTACTAATTCTCTAGCATTTATTATCCTTGCTGACTTCTTTTTTATAAATACTCTTGTAACCAGGAGAATAAGTGATCAGAATTTTTTCCGCTCAATATTTTGTCTGATGCTAATATTGGTAGGAAAAGTAGAAAGAGGAAAAGAAATAGGTAATATCTTTTTTAAATATTGTGCTGTGTATACAGGGAGTGTATATTTGGATGACATGACTCAATGTCATAACTTATTTCTCTAGTAACTATTGTATCCCTAATACATATGTTGACATAAGAAAATATCTAAGAAACATTCAAAATGACGAGAAAATATTCATAATGTATATCATCTACGGTGGGTGATAACAAGAAGCACTGGTAAATACAATGTACTATAATTTAAGATATTTATACATGTAGTACCTTTTTCTTGAAGATGGTTCCTCGCAAGTCCAAAAAAAATTCAAATTGATCTCTAACATGCTTTCTAAATAAATTTAAAATCCACTCAGTAGCCTCAACTTTCAGGAGGACTGATTTTTGACGTGGAATTAGTGTGGCTTGGAAATCAAGAGTTTGACCCTACTATTGTATATTAAAATTATTTAGTCTATATCCTATCTAATGCCAACAATCCAATCCCCATTCCAAACTATGTTTTGGGTTAGATCCCTGGCTGCCCTCTAAATCCCAATTCAATGGAGATTACTTCTTGGCCAAATATTAGCTTTTGGGCAAGTAATGAACTCCCTGGTCCATGATCAGTCATGGAAGTTTTCTTATATTGTCAAGCACCTGATCATTCTAAAAGTTAATGTTCTATGAGAAGTGCTAGAAAGGGTTTTCAATAGTATCTTTGATAATGGCAAACTACTGAACTTCATTAAGTCTGTTTTGATTACTATAGGTTTGTATATCTTTATCTTGAGATGGATTAAACTATTGAATATGTTTTTTTATGGGTTCTATTTACAGAGGAATGGTGGGTGGACATGGGGTGGAGGATTATTAAGTGGCATGTCTGCTTCAGTATCAACACTTGGGGACAGCGGATGGTTACTGCACATTCAAAATGTCTTGGCTGGTTCAGCTTGGATTGCTGCTCGTGTTGCTGTTGAAAAGGCTTCTGTGCTTGCACATTGCAGGTGCTTATCATGGGCACTTTTTCATCTGTTTAAAAATATGAAGTAAACCTTTGTCTTTCAATGCATACCCAACGTGGTTTTCAAGTTTGCTTAAAATTATGGTTGGAAAAGAGAAATATGATGAATGGAAATGCTGACACGCGCACACACTGGCAGCCCCTCTAATTATTATGATAATTTGGCAAAATCTCAATATGGAAGACGTTCCTAATTGGATGATAGCTCTTAAAGATATGGTTGGAAATAAGTACAAGATTTCTGGGTAATAACAAGTTTCTAAGATATAGATGAAGGATGTCATATGCCCCTCAAATCATCTTTGTGCTTTGACAACCTTACTTATTTGTGAGAATTATCGATATCACTTCCCTTGTATGAGTCGTAGATTTCTCAAGAAAGTTGATTCAGTATTTAATATCTTATTTGTTTCAATTCTCCAGTGATGGATGGGATAGAACAACTCAGTTGGTTTCACTTGCTAGTTTGTTGCTTGATCCCTACTATCGGACATTCAAAGGGTTTCAGGTAAATGCTTATTATTGCTTGTTTATTTTACGAATAGCTAGAGACATGTTGTGTGTTCCCTTAGCTTCTGAATTTTATTGAATCCCTAGCTCAAATAGATACACAGGGAAAATGAATTGTAATTCAATCCTTAAAATATTTGAAGAGAAAATAAAATGTTAGCTACCTTGTGAAATTAAGAGAGATTTGAGTAGTTATTGAATGTACTAAGCTACTGTCTTTTTTATTTGTAATCATATGTAGAAGACAAAGAAATAAAGAACAATAACGATAGAAGATATATATTGATCTGCCTAATAAGAATTTAATCAGCCCCAATATCCTACAATAAATACAATATATATTTTGATTCTTAATCCTAATATCCCTAGTGACTTGTGGAAACCATCTTGTATACATAAAAAAAAGAAAAAAATGGATCTTACCTTCATAGATGATCCCACTCTAAAGGAATACAAATTCTTTGACCTCTCAAAGCACACATTTGTGTACTCCTTTCTATCCCAATTCTTCAATACAAGGGGAGAACATAGGTGAATCTTAGACTTGGCGGCAAGAACCTAATGGAGAATGGGTGCTTTTTGAGCCATGGGCTATACCATTAGAAGCATTAATACCACCATTACGGTCACCACTACCAAAGTTTTCACCTTCATCTTCTCTATCAACTCCTCATTTGTCATTATCATCTCTTGTGCCAGTTGTAGAAGAAAACTCAAAAACAGGGAGAGATGTAAAGGAATAAAAAGATAAAGATTTGTTGGTTTTCTCACAAAGGCATAAGTCCTATAAGTGAGCACCTTGGCCTTGAAGTACCAAAGGAGTCAGAACTAATGGTGGCTTCAAAAGAATCTAATCCTGATCCTTCTTAACAAATTCCTGAATAGGTTGGTGAATCGTCATGTCAAGGTTTGTTTCATATAATGCTGTCAGCATCTTTTCATGCCTCCACCACTAACCTTGACACAACTAAGATCCCTAATAATATTCAAGAAGCCCTTGCACCACCTGAGTGGAGGAGTGCAGCCATGGAGGAAATGAAAGCTATGGAAAAGAACAATACCTAGGAAGTAGTTGATTTTCCATGAAGAAAGAAACTTGGAGGATGCAAATGGGTCTTTACGCTTAAGTATAATGCTGATAGGACTCTTAAAAAATATAAATATCGTGTTGCAAAAGGGTTTATTCAAACCTATGGCATAGACTACACTGAGACATATGCCTTGGTTGCAAAGCTTACTACAGAGTCCTTTTATCATTAGATGCAAATTTTGATTGGCCACTTCATTAATTAAACATGAAGAATGCTCTCCTCAATGGTGATTTTGAAGAGAAATTGTTTATGTTCCTTCCTCCTGGGTTTGAAAACTGGGGCAAAAGCAATGAGGTTTGCAAGCTAAAGAAATCTCTTTATGGACTAAAGTGATCTCCCAGAGCATGGTTTGATAGATTCTCAAAAGTTCTAAAAAAGGAGCACTATAAGTAGGGCTAGCTGGATCATACATTGTTTGTTAGACAAAAGGAAGGAAAAAAGTCCATATTAATTGTAAATGTGAAAGATATCATCTTAACTAGTGATGGAATTTGAAAGTTTGAGAGAACCAAGAAAGTCTTGGTCTCTGAATTTGAAGTGGAAGATTTAGATCAAATGTGCAATTTTCTACGTATGGAAGCAGTTAGGTCAAAGAAAGGAATATGAATCTCATAGATGGAATATGTCCTTGATCTCTTGGTAGAAATTGGAAGCTACTCCCTTTGCAGTAAAAAAGAAGGTAGATGAAGGCAAGGATGAGGAAGAAGAAGATGAAGAGGAGGATAAAGGCCAACTAGTTGACAAGGAGAGATATCAGATTTCAATGGGAAAATTGGTATACTTGTCACATACAAGACCAGATATTGCCTTCGCTGTAAGCTTTGTAAGTCAACATATGCTTTCTCCCTAGGTAATCCACTTATGAGTTGTGTTCAGAATTTTGACATACTTAAAAGGTACCCCAAGAAAGGGCTTATTTTTCAAAAGAAGTGAACAACCCAATATAGAAATATTTACTGACTTTGATTGGTCGGGCGCCTCAAAAGGATAAAAGATCTACATTTGGGTATTGTACCTTTGAGACAACATAGTAATTAACTTGGAGAGGCAAGAAACAAAATGTGGTGTCTAGGAGTGTGGCAAAAGTTGAGTTTAGAGTCATTGTGCATGAAATATGTGAGGGCTTGTGGTTACAAATACTTCTCAAAGAACTATAAATTGGTGTTGAAGTACTTATTAAGGTCTATTCTAATGGCAAGCCAGGCACAAGTATATATCATAACCTAGTTCAGCATGATAGAACTAAACATGTAGAAGTAGACAGACTTTATCAAGGAAAAGATTGAAAGTGGAATAATGTGTCTAATATATATGCTCTTTTGAAGAAGCAAGTTGTTGATGCGTTCACTAAGGGACTTCCAAGAGAAAATGTTTGATGAATGTCTTGGAAAAGAAAGGAGTTTGGGTTTCTTATATTAAAGATATACAAGATATCTATGAGGGGGAACAACTAGTATAAAAACATCTGGCGGTGAGATAAAGGATTTTTCTATAAGCATTGGACCATATTAAGAATTATCTTTAAGCCCTTGTCTATTTGATCTAGTCTTAGACATTTTGATTGAGCATATTTAAGAGGAATCCCCTAATTTCATGCTTTTTGTGAATGATATAGTTCTTATTGTGGAGTCAAGAGAAGAAATTAATTACAAACTTAAGTTATGCAGGAAGACTTTGGAGTTGAACGGTTTTCGCCTGAATAGAAGTAAGAAGGAATATTTGCATTGCAATTTTGATAAGAGATCAATTAGTGGTAATTTGGAAGTGAGATTGGGAGGTCGAGTCATGCCTCAAGTGAAAAAGTTCAGATATTTGGGAGCAATTATGATGGAAAAATTGATGGGAACATTGCACATAGGATGCAAACTGGGTAGTGTAATTGGAGAAAGATTAAAGGAGTTATTTGTGATAGAAAGGTACCTAATAAACTTAAAAAGAAGTTCAATCGAACTGTTATAAGACTAGCCATGTGATATATTAGTTAATGTTGGGCTTTATAGGGATAAAAGAAGTAAAAAATTGGAGCAGTAGATGTGAGAATGTTGAGATAGATATGCAGGCATACACAAAAAGCTAAAATACGAAATGAGTATTACACGAGAAAAAGTTGGCGTAGCACCTATTGTGGGAAAAATGGTAAAAAAATTGTTTGAGATGGTTTGGATACATTTAGAGAAGGCCATGGAAAGTATCGGTGAGGAGAGTAGAACGGATAGCCTGGAGCCAAATAAAGAGGGGCAGGGGAAGATTAAAGAGAACACATGAAAATTGTTGAATGTGACCTCTTACTTAATAATATTCTTAAAAGCTTGGTTGGTAATAGAGCACAATAGTATCATGTAATCTATATAGCCGACCCTATCTAGTGAGATAAGATTTGATATATAGACAATTTGCACATGATCAATATTTATGATCCAACTTGAGGGGAAGGGTTGGATATCTTTACTTCTATTGTAAATATTTGTATAACTTTATTAGCATTTATTAGCTTTCATTAGCTTTTGTTAGCCCTTATTTTCTAGGTTTTTCCTCTCTGTATACATAGAAATGTATCATTCTCTTCAGATTAATGAAAATACAGTTTTTTTCTCTGAAAAGCTATTGTATTTTAAGATTAGCTGTGAGTTCCAAGGAGCTATTCATTTGGGGTTTGCATCACTGGGACTACTATTGTAACCCAGATCCAATTACTCAAAATAAAGTAATAATTATTAGGCATTAAAGGGTCTTAAATTAATTTCCTACTCCTAGGATTAGTCTTTTGTTCTCCATCACTATATCTATATTACGTGTTAACTGTATCTACGGCCTTGCTGTTTTGATTGTGCTTTCCTATTTTCTTCCATATGCAGGCACTTGTCGAAAAAGACTGGTTAGCGTTTGGTCATCCATTCTCAGATCGTGTGGGAATGCCATCAGTCAGTGGAAGTGGCAACACACCTGAGTTGTCTTGGCAATCTCCTGGAAATCACCCATCATCACCCATGCGTCAGTCATCAGGAGCATTGAGTTCCCAACCTCCAACCTCTCACGCACAAACTTCGAACAACTACTCTCCAATTTTTCTGCAGGTGTGTGTGCGCCTTGTATATTCTGTATTGGTTGCATTTAATCTGCATTGTTTTTCACTTTTAATCAAGTAGGTTATGTATTCTTTATTACATGTTTATTTCCCAATAAGTCTCTCACCTTAAATTTTCAGTCTATTTTTGTTTTTATGTTTTACTTCTGAATTATAATTTCTTAACTGGATATTCTTTTATTGTTTGATATTAAATTTAACCCTGTAACTTTTCACCAAGTATTCACATCACTATTATTGCAAGAAATTTTATATGCCTTAGATCAAACCCAAAACAAGCTGGCTGACACTGAGGTTTTATCTTGGTGACATTTTGAAGGTTGTGCCTAATTTTTCCATCAAAAGGAAAAGTAGCCGATGCATTACACACACGGATGCACACAAGACATGCTCAATTTTCCCTTGTAACACTTAGACATTGGCTGATTTGGTTAGGTTTGGGATAATTGTCCTCATTATATAATATCTATCGATGAATCAACAGAACTCAGTTGAGAAATGCATTGAAACTAAGAGAGATATGGTGAGAGAAATTTTCTTGATTCATATGATTAAATGTAAAATATACAACCAATGCTTATAAACGAAACTATGAAACATGTGATACATGAAAATTAGGAACAGTGATGGTAACTAGGAAAACTAGGGCTAAAAGGTGATAGAGTACCATATATTGTGGGATTGTGGGTGAAAGTGGATAAAGTATTGTATCGTTTTGTTAACATATCTTTAAGAGATGTAATTTTATTTTCTGTTCTAGATAATTAAGAGATATTATTTATAAATATCTCTATTAGGAATTGTTTATTATTGAGTTAATGTTTGTTAGGATGTAGTCTGTTTTCTGCTGTATTTATTATCTTAATAGTTAGATCTCAATAGTTACCCCAAGCCCTAATCCTTAAATTTGCTCTGCTGCTCAAAATAATACATCCGTTAGAATGCCCTTGGTGTATAGAAAAATATTTATGAAGTGAGTCACGAGAATAGAAGTGGTTTTGAGTACAAAAACTTACTCTGAAATTCGTCCCTCAGCCTACCATGGACATCGCATTCACTCACCCCCTCACACTTGCACTGTAACTCAAAAAAACTCTGTTCCGCTCTGGCTCTGATACCTGTATGGATCATTCTGAGTGCATGAATATCTGCAAGAGGAAGGAGCCTTAATATTTATGGCTCATAATGACCTATAATGACATAATAATATCCTATCATAATTATGGAATAATATTCCTATGATTATTCATATCTACATATTAAATACTAATATCTTAATAGTTACAAAGACAGTTCACAGGTTTTAAATATTTTACTGCCAGCAAAGCGGTTACCCCCCAACACCTACAACAAGATTTGTCAAATTTAAACTACGGTGATTAGTTTTAATTTAGTATATCTTTTTTTATTTAACCGATGATTTAGTAGTTCTATATGTCTGATTAATTAGTCATGATATTAATGCTCTTTAAATTTTAACTATCTTAAACAGTAGGTGGTTTCTATCTGTAACTTTACATTAATGACACTGAGAGCTAAAATGTCAACATTTTACATAATTATGAATTTAGATAAGATTTGGTTAGATTTTCTAATTGTTAATTATTGGGATTTATTTGGATTTTAAATAGATATTATGTTTATATTAGTAGGATTTAGATAGGATATTATCTCATTTTCCCTCTCTTTCTCTCTTTCCAATGTAAATTCTTTTTTTTTTTTTTTACCAAATATTTCCAATGTAAATTCTATAACACAACAGAAGTTCTCTATATGTTGTTGGTTGTTATGCTGCTCTAACCATAGTCAGAATGCTTATCCTCGTGTTCTATATTTTTCTCTTATTGCTTAAGTAGGTGAGCTTTATATATGTTTCTCTTTTCAGTGGGTGGATTGTGTTTCACAACTGCTGCGGACATATCCTTTTGCTTTTGAGTTCTCTTCAGTAAGTATACCGTTACCGTGTGTGGCTTTTTACGCAAATCTTCCTGCATTTGATGCTTTGTTTTCTGGCTCTGTTTCTGGTCTCTCTAGTCTCTACAACTGATGACTTGTACTATTATATGATTCAGGCTTTCCTGGTGGACTTCTTAGACTGTGTTCTTTCATGCCGCTTTGGAAACTTCTTATGTAATAGGTACTCCCTCCAATCATATTTATTAGTTACTTCCAACATATATCACCAAAATCAAGAAAAACCTTATACCTCATTCACTCTATCTAAAAATTTAATAAGTTTTCAACTTTACCCTTATTAAATATACACATTTTAAAAATAAAATACTCCAATACTTAATAATTTTTCCAACATTTAATAGGGACAAAAAGGTAAAGATGGACATAAAAATTGGAGAGGTGCCCTATAACTAGGATCAAAACAAATCCTGTGGTTAGGCTGAGAATATCTCAAATTGTAAATTATACTTGCTATAGATGGGAGAGATATATCAGGGTTTTGACTATGGATTTACTTTTCCTGATTCTCTCACTGATTTTGAGGTATTTACGACCCCCTTCACTGCTGTATATATCTCACTGTATATTTCTTGGAGAAATAAGAATTTCTTTCTGCTCAATTCTACAAATACTCTCTCTCTCTCTCTCTCACTCTGCGCACTATAAATCTGACCAGAGGAGTATTTCTTTTTTCAAGCAATTTTCTATCCTACGGAATGTCTATGGTGTCTTCAATACATTGTTTGGAATGTGAAATGTGAAATGTGAAATATATATATATATTGTTAAATATAAGGATATTTTCTTTGTCCAACAATGTGAAATGTCTCTAGAGCATCCCTAATCATCACATAACTACATCTTATGGCCAAACTCCATTTAATTACATTATTAATTCATAATTGGAAATTTAAACTTGTGGGATGTTAAAGTATTGGTCTAATCACCCTCCACCTCTTTTATGTATTTAAGGTAAAAGACTGGATGATTCCTTTTCTAAATGGATCAATAAGGCTGAAATAAGTAAATTGTGTATAAGCATAAATGAAACTGCACGTGTGTTGTTGTTATGTATAGAACATAATATGATGTTTTGAATGCTTGATCTTATTCAGTGAGAAGGAAAGGCAACAATTGAATGTTTTTGAAGCATGTGGATGTTTGTGGGCATACCTAGCTGAGCTGCGGGCTTCAGAAAGTGGTTCTCATGTGCATTATAACCTCTTTTATGACCCGTCAAAGCATGATGGTCATCTTCGGCCTCCTGCAGCAGCTTTAGCCCCAACTTTGTGGCCCCAATTCCATCTGCGTTGGGTTTGTCCAGAAGAATCACAGGCTGGGGAGATTGAATCAGAATGTAGGAAGATGGCTTTAAATTTCTGTGAGATGAGGAAGGTAGTGGCTTTCCTCCACTTATGATTACTGCATAAAAGCCAGTCCCTTCACCCATCTGTTCATTTGTGAATTGCCATGTGCTCACTTTTATGCATGAAGTCCCATAGTTCGACTTTGTTTATTTGACCAAATTAAGATGTCATTTTAATTAGGAATTTGAGGTAAATTGGGATTTACTTATAATTAATGTGATTATCAATAAAGGTGTCGAGTCTGGGCATATGTTATCTTACAAGCATATCTTAGTAGAGCTAAACTTTGTAGTATTTTTATTTCAGGTTCACGAGTATTTCTAATATAGGCTTCCTATAAATCAAAAACATCATGCCTTATCTTGTGTTCTCTTGATGTTAATTTGTTGAGTTTTTTGTTTTTTTGGTTCTTGGTTCTTGTTCTTGTTCTATGTTGTACTAGCGTCTCCTTAAACCTGGAGGCCTGTATTCTTCATGCAAACGAACTAATTTGAATCCGATGCTGATTGTTTTTTTTCACCCATGAAATGAACTGATAACCTGTCTGGTCTTTTATATTAATGATGCAATTGTCTTTCTGGTGGGATGGTATCAGGCTAAGGAAGAGGCGGAGAAGAAAGCCGACGAAATTGCAAATGCCATGGAATCACTGAAAGTAGAACGTAGAAACGAGAAGCAACTAAGAATATCAGCTATGAACATTGCCAAAAGAACAAACAAAGAAAATGTGGTGATGAAGAGGGCAATTCAGTCAATTGGACGCAAGGTTTACTTCTCTAGCAGCGATGATAGTATTGTTGATATTGAAATCTGTCCAGCTGAAGCAGCTCAAAACTTGAAGTATTCTCTAAACGGAAAGGAATTTGATGATAAAAAGGATTTATCTGCATCGGTAACAATTACAGAACATGACAATGATGCAAACATTGCTATTAGTCAAGTATGTGAAACTCTATGCCCGTTTCGTTCCCAAGATGGACATTGCAGGTGGCCCAATTCTGTTTGTGCTCAACGTGGCAGCCAGTTTGTTGGTCTAAAGGCAAACTTTGATGCTCTTGATCAACTCTTAATTAATGATGATTATTTCAAGCCTGAGTGATCAGGGAATTCAGGTCCAAAAAGTATCAAGTTTTGGTTTTTTTTTTCTTTTTCCTGTACTGTAGCGTAGTCAAGAGTTCTATTTGAATTTCCAGATGACAAATGAAGACGGCAAGATTTGGCTCTGTGCCAGGTCCCGGGAATTGTTCAGACTTAAGACCATGTCAGTACAGTACAGACATGTCTGGTAAGCTTGGGAAAATAAATTGATCATTGATGTGGTGGTCTATATTGTTGTATGCAGGTATAGCAAATGGTAGAAGCTAAAGATAACTGTTGTTGTACAGGTAATAAGTGAAGTTTCTATTCAAAATTGGTCTAGACACAGATGGACAGGTGTATATGGCAGGAAAAGTTTGTTGTAAATTGGTGTATGTTAGAGCCACTCTTTATTTGCATTCAATTTAATGCTACCACCTTCATTCCTAAAAGATGAGTGTGTCTTGAGGGTAGGAAATGATTTTTCCCCTACTTTTTCTATACTGTCTATTTAGATATCATGATGCTTATTTAATAATACTTGTTTACCATCAAATCTTGTCATTTTTCATTCTTTTTATTTTTCTCAACATGCCTACTGGACTATAAAGATTTTTCTCCAAAAAAAAAAAAAACGCATCACTATATGTAGGCTTTGGATTACAAAAAGCAAGTTCAGAATAAACGAGGGCCTGTTTGAATTATTTGAAGAACTGGTATTCTATAAAATATATTCTAAAAAATTAAAAAAAAAAAGAAGAAAACAAAGTTTGAATAATTATTCTGAAAATTTATAGTTAAAAATTAGAAAATATAAATAAAAAAAGTTTGACTAACCTTTTTAACGTTATTAATATTGACATTATTTTTATATTTATTTAATATTATATTATAATTATGAATTAATTTAATAATATAAGAGTCTTAATAACATTATCAACCCTTGGACTAACATTTAAAATACCTTTTTAACGTTATTAATATTGACATTATTTTTATATTTATTTAATTTTATATTATAATTATGAATTAATTTAATAATATAAGAGTCTTAATAACATTATCAACCCTTGGACTAGCATTTAAAATATTAATTATTACGACCTACACTGAATTAAGAAAATACATTGAGTTATTTTTGACATGGTGCTTGGCAACTTTACATTCTCTTGTTTTGCTCTCCAGTTAGCGACAATTTCACAATTTCAATGAGATATAAAGTCAAGTAATTATAGTATAGTTTAAACTTATATATATGTCAATCCGTTAATGATCTCATCAACAAATTTTCAACCTGTTATAATAATAAAAATGACTTGTATGACCTTTTATCGTGCGATCTCAAGATGTGCCTACATTCATATACTCATTTGAATCATTAGTGACATACGTGCCAAACATCAAGCACTTCATGAAAGAGAATTTGTGATGGCTAGGTGAGGCTATGTTCAAGTAGTTTCTTGAGCTACATAAGACCAATGAAAATGGTAAACCATGCCCAATTGAAGTTGACTGAGATTGCTTCTAGATCCAACTCCTAGAGATCATTCACTTGCATTGCCAAAACAAAAAAACATCCACAATTCGCTTGCTTTGTGTTCCTAAACTTGGAAAATCCATAAAACATTACTTTAGTTTACTTTTGCAATCAAGTAGGTAACCAAATCAAACTTCATTGTTGTTGTTTATTCACTCTTTGAATTCAATTTAGCTCTACCTTACACCAATTCATTGGGGATTTGACTTAAGTTGTCATTAACTACATTAGTAGTACTTAGAAATTAATTTGTGGCATGTATGACTAGTTTTTTTCAAGTAGACTAAAAAGTATACACAAGCTTTTTCTTCCACTATATATATATATACACACATATACATATCAACAATCTCAACATCATAACATAATTGGATTTTCAAGTAGCTTGATGTTGGGGGGAAAAAAACAAAGAGGCTCTAAAAGTTGCTACGGATTCCCCAAATGTTCACGTAGTCTAACTACTACTGAATTTAATCATAACATACAAGTTATAGCATTTGGCCACCTTATAAACTTCCACTGTGACATTTAATATTTCATATCGTTATAAACTAATGAAAAAAATAGTTAGTAGTCAAATTTAGAATCCATTTGGTTGTTGGAAAGGAAATGATTGGATAACAAAAATAAAGATAAAAATAGAATGATCAACATGTAGAAGAGAGAATTTCTGTAGCCATTTACAGACTTGTTTGATCCTTTTTCATTGGTGACTTTATCCTTATGATTTATCTTTTTATTGTCTATAACTTTGATGTTTATAAAAAAGATATGTTCATGAAGGGAGAAAGATAATTTAATTTATGAAGTTGAAAATTCTAATTTATAAGATTTGTAGAAAAAGTGATAATTATCACATTTATATTATGTTATATTAAATTTTATTATATTTACTATGAAAAAGAAAGTAATTTAATTCACTCTTATTCTTATTTCTTTAATCGACTATATTTTCATCCTTTCCCATTACGAACAAACAAACAGCTCCTTAAACTTTATTAAATGATTATTCTCAAATTAAAACATTAAATTTTATGTATGAATTCTTGATCTAATATTCATAAATAGATTCATTTGAAAAATAATTTTATTGAACCATGTAAATCATTCTTTTTAGCATATTTTAGGTGTGATGAACATGATAACTAAATGCCTTCCACACACACTCACAGACACGGTGGGGTAGGAGAGATTCACCCGTAAACCAATTATTTGGTTACTCACAAGTCTTCTCTTATTGAGGACACAGTTGGATATTAGATGTAAACACCCCTCCAACCATGAAAGTCAACCCTCGCTTGATACCTATAAACTAACTTTATAGAACCATGGAAGTCAAAAATGCTTAGGGCAGTGTAGGTTGAACGGACCACAAAATGCCTACCACTTTATGAATGGGACACAAAAACTAGACAAGCACAAGGACGTATCATACAAAATAGAGTTCATCATAGTAGGGACGAATGTTGAGAACCACCCTATCCAGATTCAAATTCAATTCATGTAACATAAATTTAGTTGGTTTTAAAACAGCCATAAACTCAACATCAAAGTTCATGTGAGCAGGCAGGAAGAGTACTGTGAGAGTCAAGATCATCATGTATCAATCAAGCAAAAGACTTGTGCGAAGCTAACAAGAGACTTTCTAAAGCATCAGTCATTCACATAGCCAATGAGAAGATATTGAAGTGAGTTGGCATATCTAATAATTCAAGCTATACAGAAAATGCAAAAATCTCTATTCATTATCAAATGGTCGACCCTCATTATTCACATCTGATGGAGGCCTATTTTGGTCATTATCATCATTGGGGTTCCTCCCTTTAGGCTTCCTCTCGTTCCATCTTGCCCAAACCCACCTTGAAACAAGGATTGCTCCTAATGCGTATACCTGGAATTAACAGTAAAATTATCATTCATCACTCACTATACTGAATAAAACTTGACCCCCTGCATTGATGGGGAGCATTTGAACTTGTTAAAAGAACAAAAATCAGAGAAACATGATATGGTAAAACAATGATAATGATAATACTGTTTAAAATCATTATTGCTTGATGTGACCTTATAAATCATAAACCGTGTCAATTATCTTCCTTCTACATACTTCCTCCAGTCCCAATTACAGGATATCTCTAACTGCCTTACTGGAACTAAGAGATGGTTAATGAAAAAATAAACTTTCAATAGGGGTAATATTGAAAAAACATAATTAATACCTCATCAAATACCTTATATTAAGGACCAAAGAATCCTTCTAAAAGGCACCCTAAGATAGGGACTGGAGGGAGTATATATTACAAAGAGTTAAAAGTATATTTTGTTCATACACACATATAAGAATAACAAGCCAAGCCTCTCGCCAGTTTATTGGCATGGACATATTAAGTTATTAACTCAGCCAAGGAGGGCATATAACCTCAGAAGATACCAAGTGAGCAGGGCGCCGTATTCATACCCAAAAGGCAATCAGTACAACAAACGAATTATACTCAGTCCCTATCGCATTGTTCATGTGATGTATTGCAAGGAAAAAAGACAATATTCATACAGTAACATAGGCTGAAGGCTGTCAGATTAATGATATGAGTTGAATTATAAAAAATAGAAAAGCCAGAGAACAATTCATCTAACATGCAGGTCGAATAACACAGATTAAAGTGCCCAATTTTGGGGTGTTAATGCAACTGCAAGTACATAACATTTAGTTGACCTGGAGATGTTTACCTCCATTCATACTATCACACACACACACACACACAGACGGAGGGACAAATTACTGCTATAAATTATAGTCTATATGGCCAATGAAGAATACAGTATACTAACATTTCGAAGATATCGATAGCAGGGTAATACATCCAAATACCTCATCTGCCATCGGGATATTATAGATTCGACCATCAGAGTAAAGGTCTTAATAAGATTACTCTAACAACTATTGGGCTTGATAGAATCAAATTTCGTTTAGGACTTCACAACAATCATTTATCATTTATCAATTGTCATTCAATTTCATGTGTCTCTTCGAACTCATCCACAATTCCACATGTAAACTGGCCCTCTTGTTGCTGTCTTTTCTGCCTAGCAATGAACATCTATCCTTCAGTGAATAATCGAATGAATTTTCAATTAACATATTCACCATAGAAACCTTATACAAATGGGTTGGAAAGGGGGAAACTCCCTCAGCCTCAGGGAGACCTGGTGTGGATTTCCAGCTGCTGTGCAACTAATTGTGTGGATTTCCAGCTGTTGTGCAACTAATTGGTGGGGTGGCTCAATCCATGATCTAAGGCCCTCCAGCCAATACATAAAAGTGTGAAAATACATCAGGTGCTCGTAGAAATATTTACAGTAAATGCATCCTTCTTGGAAATACAGCAATCCCTCATTAGGTTTTTCCTAACCATCCATTGTATGAATACAAAAGTGACCATACTTTTTAAAAGTATGCAATGCACCAAAGCTATGTTGCTGCACAACCAAGCTAGTGCACTATGCCCCTCACTATAGGCACTTCCAGTACAGCGCACATGACAAGCCAGGAAAAACCTTTCATTTAAATCCCCCTCTCCCATGCTGATAGTCTTAAGGGCTCCTCGATGGCTGGAGGCACCCTCTCTGTTGTTTTCTCTTTTTCCCCATCTGTCTCTACTTTTTTCACTGTACTGTATTGTTTTTCCCCTTCTTTTTCTTAACCACTATTTTTTACTCCCTTTTTTTATGTCTTCGTTTTTTATAGTAAGCATCCAACACATTCTATCTTATCGTCTAATTTTTTTCCAAGTTTATTTATATTTTCATGAAATACATTAATTTCCAGAGAAGATGTTAGCAAGAATTATTTTTCAAAAAAAACAAGGAAGGAAGGAAGAATCCAATAGCAGAAAAGTATGATTCCAACCAAAAAGTAGGTACCACCATTTTACATAGTTTATGCTTGATACATTAGAAAATTGGATGCTTGTTGGAATTTTTGTCAGTCTTTTGTTCTCTTCTTTCTATATTACTATGAAATAAGCTTTTAAGCGAGAGCACTGCACTTACTGCTGCAATTCAAAGTGCCACAAACAGCACGCCCGTGGGCTGCATGCCATCAAGTAGTAAGGAAGTTTGTAATTTCTGATATGTATTCCAATAATGGTGACAAGGAATCTCCCAGAGAAAATTTATTGCATGTCACCATATTAAGCATGGAACATAAGAAATACAGGTAACTAAAATTTTAGAGTGAAACAGATAAAACCCTTGAACATCCCATCCAATTATGGGATAAGATGGGGACTCAATTAACTTCATCATGAGTTAAGGGAATCATTTCATCATGCGAGTACAAAAGTAGTTGTGTCATACAGTAAAAATGCGAAACCAAAACATGAAATTACTCAGATTATACAGGGGAACTTATCAAAGCACCCTGACAGCCTCATGTTACTCACTTATTGAATATTTGAGTACCGACATAAATGTACTGCGCAAAATAAATTTTAAGTTATAGAAGACTGGTTAGTCCCCCTTTTAGATTTGATTCCTACCCATCCTAAACCACATACAAGAGTTCTAACATTGACTCAAAAAAAAAAATGTACTTTGAGTTTCTTACAAGACAAATTTAATCTACAAACACAATATTAGGATAGCATGGCATGAAGTTCAGCAACAAATTTAACTTGGCATTCAACTTCTCAATTATCATACTCCAAGGATTCCTAAACACGACGTGATTACATAAAATTCAGTTTTAACAAGATTTTTCCATAAGCAATACAAAGGGTGAATAGTAACGTGATAGAAACTTTTAAATTGAGGGGTATATTAATTTGAACAAACTTTTAGGTGGGACATTCCAAATTGAAATTTAATTTAAATCGTAAGAAAGTAGAGAGAAGAGCAGGAAAAAAAAATACTAATATAATGAAAAGGGGCATGTAGTCCAATTCAATCTCTGTACACAAAGCTTGCGGATAGTAAAATACAGAGAGAACCGCATTATTTGAACCTCATTTTCAACATTTGTCAGTTCTCTGTCTTTTGTTCCCTTCAATATTCAAATTCTGGTTCCATCATAAAACCCTGGAAGTTATACTGCTGATTATTAACCTTGTAGCATCTTCAATAGACCATGACAAACACTTGAATTAAATCATTGAACGAATAATATCTCATCTGTGGTCCACCTCTTCAATTTCATCAATATGTAGCCTACACATCAAAGCACTCAAAAACAGAATAACAAAACAATACCTGCCAGATTATGATAGGATTGGAAGTTTTAGCAGACTCCTCAGCCTCAGTCTCCATTGGAGGAGGAACAACCAACTGGGTTTTCGGAAACCTCACAAAGCTAGGCTTTGCAGTCTCGTTCCCAGTACCTTCATCCATCGAAGTTCGCCTCTCGACCGCTTTACCAGAGGCCTCCACAGGCTTTGAAGGGTTTGGCTTCAAGAAAGGCAAATCAAACTTAAAATTAGGGAAGAATGGAAAAACGAATCTGGGTGCCTTAGGGTCTTCCTCTTTTATCACAATCTCGCTGTTTTTGGCCATTTTGAAGATGGGGCTTATTCCTCAGATGGCGGAGATAACAGTGTGGAATGCAAACAGTGGTAAATGAAAAAGAAGAAATATAGAGTGTCGTCAAGAGTTAGAAACTTCAGACTTCCAGAGAGGTTCAACAAACGGCGGGAGAAGGTGGGCCCAGTCTCTAGGGAGAGAAGATGCTCCAAAATAATGTGGTTATTTTGACTTCTTTTTTTTTTTTTTAAATTTTGCCCTTACCTGAGTAGCTGGCCCTTTTTCACAGGGGTGTTCATAGGTTCGGTTTGGTTTGGTTTTGAGCAAAAACTAAACCGAACCGAACCATTCGATTTACTGATAATTGAGACCTGATCGGTTTTTATGAAGTTTGGTTTGGTTCAGTTTTATTTTCGGTTTGGTTCGGTTTGGTTAAGGTCTTGATCAAGTTTTAATTTTTTTTTTTTCCTTTTCTCCATTTTCATAATGGTGCTATGTACTAAAATTAAATTTAATTTTTTTTGACTCTTTTTTTTCATAAATAGAGGTATAAAAATATAATAAAATTTCAATGTGATATCAATAATTAATCATAAAAATTGATATAAGTTTTTAAAATTAAAATTATTTAATATTATATATTTTCATTAAAATACTTTGAAAATGTTTATCTATGTATCTATATTTTAATAAATAATAAAAAACTTATTATACAAAATTCAAAACAAAATGTTTCTTGTAGATAAATTGAATGCTGAGGCTTTTAGGTTGTAAATAATTAAATGATGATCATAACATGATTATTATAATTACTTAATATTATGCATTTTCATTCAAGTATTTTAAAAATATTTATTTATTACTATAAAAAATTCAAAATAAAATACTTCTTGTAGATAAATGGTTATATATTTTACAAATATAAAATTTTTTTAATCAAGTTTGGTTCGGTTTGGTTCGGTTTCTAGTACTCAAAACCGAACTTGAACCGAACCAATCGGTTTTTATATCATAAAAACCGAAGCAGACCTAATTGTTGTTCGGTTTTGATCGGTTTTTGTCAGTTTGGATTTGTTTGGATCGGTCCTTTCAGTTTGGATCGGTTTTAAACACCCTTACTTTTTCATAAGATAAAGTGGGTATACACTCCCACACACATATCAATATTGGATTTAAACTTTAAACTTTAAATCTAAGAAGCCAAAACTTTTTTCAAGTAAGAAAGGTGATTATTGTGATTAGGGTTAAATAGAGTGAAGTATTTTTAAATATAATGTTGTGAGAAATATTAATGGGTGGATAAGCATAATTAACAAAACCAATAATTCCAGTGCATCGAGCTCAATTCGAGCCCGCTTATTCGAATTGAGAAAAGTCGATATAGTCAAGCTCAACCCTAATTTTTTTCATGCAAGTTTGAGCTTAACCTTAATTATTGACTCTACATACATATAGAACTAATAATTCTGACAACTAGACTTATTTAAATCAAGCTTAAAGTATCCTACATTTTTTTTTAAAAAGCTCGTATAATAAAGCTCACCTCTAACTTTGTTTAGGCAGGTTCAAGCTAGTTCGTCGAACTTGACCTGAATTAATGACTCTACTAAGTAACAAAGTCTCATTCTTTTTAGATTTAATATTAGATTACATTTAAATTATGTATAGTTGATTTAATGTTAGATTAGATTTAAATTAGGAAAAACATAATATTTGATCCTTATAATTTCATTGGGTTTTGCTTGTAATTTATGTAGTTTTTCTTTCAATGTTTACAGTCCCTCTAGGAATTAAAACCATTGAAAAAATGGAAATTATATGGACCTAGAAACAAAAATCACTCAATCTAAAATTATAGGGATTGAAAACGTTAAAAAAATTACAGGGATTAAAAATAAAATGTTATGAAACTTTTAAGTCCAAAAATTATGTTTTTCCTTTAAATTATTTATAGTTGTGTTGTCGCTCTTCCATAATGGTGCCTCACCGATGGCTTCTTCACCCTCGACCTAAGCTAAATAGGAAAGGCCTAAAGCCAACCCCAAGGAATAGTAAAGCCTCATAAGATCTTCTTGTCCAAGTACAAGTAATACACATCTTCACAAAACATGTCTACTTCATCGACTCTCTCTTCAAGAAAGTGCCTTTGACTTTCGTGCGGGGTGCAACAATTTGTATAAAGTCTTTTTAATATTTTCTCTTATTTTATTTTTTAAAAAAACATAAAACTCCCTCTGTCTCTCTCAAAAAAAATTCATGGAATTCAAATATTCTCAAATATCAAAATATTTATTCCTATTCATTATTATTTTTAAAGATGAGGGGAATAGCTTTTTCAACAAGAAAGAAACTAACAAGGTCACGAGAAACCTACCCAACTTAAGTGAAACTTACCTCTCTATGCGAAAAAAAAACCCTCCCTCTAGTCTTACTCTCATTGTTCTCGTGTATTTATTATGAAAACACTTGAGATTCGTAACTCAAAGATGATTCTTCAAGGTATTGTAAAGACTTGTTCTTTGTTTTTTGGGATTCTCTTTATTAGCATGCAACCAATGGCATGGGTAGATTATAAAACTCTCATTACCCAAACACCATTGAGACCAAAAACCAAGACAATCAAGAGATTAACTTTTAAAGAGATTACCAAGTTTGAAATTTAAAATTAAGAAATCTCAAGTTTTCATAATCCAATTTGAGCTAAAAACATTCATGAACTCTTTAATCAAAGTAAAAATCAAGTTATGGAAGCATAGGATATCTCAGAGGAATGAAAGAAGTTGAAAACAATTAAAAAATCTCAATGTATTGAAAACTGAACAATACGCTGTTACTTGGACACTCTGTGCCGCGCCTCTAACTAATGAAGAGGTCTTGGCGGAATTGCCACATATGAAATTGAGCAATATTTTGAAAAGAAATAGCCCACTTGTTTCTCAAGAAGAGATGGGAAACATGCTCAATATTATTTGATTGAATAGTTGACCCAGCTCCTTGTTTGAAGAAACCCTCCACTTCAATTGGTATTTTTTCACGAAAAGCAAACATGAGATAATAAATCCAATCTTTCACTAAGATTTTGAATAGCTCCTTGTTGTCCTCTGTGCAATGTGCCATGGCGTGTTGCATGTTTTCTTGATAGCAAATTTTACTATCATTTGACAATAAAATTGAGGCAACTTCTAACATGCCTCATTTATTCATTTGACATTCGAATAACATGATCTAGGTATCTACGAAAAGCTCTTCTCATAAATTAGTTAATGGAATTGATATTACTTTCAAAAACAAGTTACATCAGGAAGTTGAATATCGAAACATATTTTTTCCACTTTACAACTTTCACAATCAAAAAGGGTGTCCAAATTCAAAACAAGTGCCAAAAGCCACTTCTAATACCTAAACCATATGCATTGGACCTAAGACTACTAGTATAACACACCACATGCACTCAAATACCAATATAGCACAAAATCACTCCTTAATCCCTTTAATACCAAAAACAGAAGGAGGAGGTAATTCATTGCATTCTATTCAAAATCATTAATATCTTACTTTAAACAACTTTACTACACTTGCACTCGTATTTTGACCCTATCAACATTCACAATTTATCATATCCAGCACTTAGCCTAAAATACAAATCAAACATCATGGATAACCATATAATGCAAGTATAAATGAAATGCATCCTAAAATTAGCAATGCAAATCTATTACATAGAAGGAATGGCTAAACATAGAGGCATATGATAGGAATTCACTAATTCATAAGCCTCCTGAGCTTTATTCCTCTTTGCATCGAAGCTAGAGCTTGTAAAATGTTAAAAAAGGAGTGAGTCTGATCATTTAGTAACTAAGGTAAAACCTACCCTATATAGTAGCATATCAATTGAAATAAAAACAAGCATGGAAAGAGATTTTTCTTGAAGACATGCTTTAGCACATAGTTCCATATATTTCACAACATATCGCTTTTCAACCAATTCACTTCCATTTAATCACATGGTATATGGCCACAAGACACTCAAACATATGGCTATGACCTAATATCAACACGACTTGCCACAATTCAATCATTTGACACGTCATAAACTTACATAGACAATGATCAATCATTCTTATACCCTTCTTATTTTCTCTGACTGAAACTGTGGACTATAACACTGAATAGGACTCTATCCGTGTGACTGGACTACCCAAGCTCACCAATTGTGTGGCCAAAGATCACATGACTCACTCTAAAACCACAACTTCCCCTACTCTCAAATCTTTAGGGTGCCATATACCCTAGAATAACCTCCTCAATAAAATGGTGGAGATAGCTAAGTTCTAGTCCCTCAACAAACTATGGAATAGTCCTTCGACAAACTGTAAGACAAGGCTATGCCCCGATGTACCAAAGGGCAGCTTAAATATCATATGAATTTTCGCTACTCCCAATCCCTAGGCGAATTCCCACCTAATGATCATACCATGTATGATGCTCACTTATTCTTCACAAATCTAGTTTATTCATTATCAAAATCAAACATATTAGGCTCATGATCGTGCATTACCTAAGTGAGCATCAAATCTCATTTCACATTAACATATATATTCCTATTTTTAATCATTATCAACACTCAGTTAATTATTACCATGGAACTCAAAAAATCATTTCAAAATCTCTTTTCATCTTTAGTTCAAACCAAAGTAATAACATAATCACACGGTTCCATAGCATGTTTCACACGTTCACAAAATACATATTTTACAACATATTGCAATTAACATACAACAATCTAAAGAAAATTTTTCTCAATTACCTCAAACCTTTGAGAGATCAAAAATTTACCCTTCAATATTCTAAGCTTTTAACTTGATTCCTAAGCTAAGATGGAGTACAAAAGCTTAATCTATAATTAACTAAGTTAATTAAACTTCATCAACATTGTCAAGAGTAGACTATCAACTCACATTTTCACTTTTCCATTACCTAACAGCATCAATTTTTACCTTTGGCCTTATCCATTAAATTTATTAACTCTCTTTAGTCCCCAATAATATTAATAAATCATGAAACTCCCATTAATGGCATTATAACTCTTCCAACAACCCTCACTAATGTCATTTTTGGATATTAATGATATTTACCAAGCAAGGATGTCAAAAACTCATTAGTTCTAGGTTTAAATACTCCAATCAACTCTCATTAATTCCATTTAAGTCAATGGATTCGAGCTCAAAAGCTATATAGATCAAACATCATCTCCCACTATTAAACCATAACTAAAAACTTCATAAATGTAAAACAGATAGGAAAAAAAATAGAGTTTAAGATACTTACCTTAAATGTTTCTGGCTTCAAAATACTTCCAATATCATCCAAATACAAATCCTAATAAAGCTGAAGTCATCCTCTTCTTTTTTTTTTCCTTTTTCTTCTTTTTGTTTCTGCCTCATTTCATGAGTTAAATTCTACATAAAAGGGCTATGTGTCGTGGCGAATCTATTTCATACTGCAGTGTGTGACACAAAAGCACTTCTTCCTTATTTTCTTCTCCTTTCAATGCCCGAGTGGCCCATCTTCAATTTGAGCCCATAATTAGAGTTGAAATATAACCAAAATCAATCATTATACCTCTCTAACCACACACCATGTTAATTACTCAATTATCATAATTAATCTTAGTTAATCTGAAAATTAAAATTTAAAATATTACATAGACCATTTCCACCTTGTTTGGTATGAAAACTAAAAGGTTAGGTCTGCGATTGATATTGGAAAAAGCTCAATTTAATGTGTTTGGTATGAGTGATTGAGGCAAGCTTGGGATTGCTAAATACTACTTCGATAGAATTACTCATACTCATCTCTTTGGCATTGAGAAACTAGTCATATGATTGGAAAATTATCCTTGTTCATAGTAATTTGACAAAAATGCCTATATGAATTTTGTCCGCAAAGACCTCACTTCGTTGGTCTTCATCAGTCCATCATTCTACATCACCAATGAAGCCCCTAGTTCATTGATCTCCATCAATCCGTCAATCTACTTTGATCTCCATCATTCCTTTTCCGTCTAAGAGACTCGTCACTCCTCAACTTGAATTTTTTTTTTTTTTTGTGCTCTTCATGATTTCTAGGCAAAACCAAAAAGGTTTTGTCGTCGATTCATGCTATGAGGTGATCATCATCTTCTGCCTAGAAAGCTGACAGCATCGAAGGTTAATTAAATTTTACCACACAATGATAATAATAACAAAAGCGTGATAAAAGACTAGAAGAGCAACAAGCCAACAACAACAAATAAGAGGAGGAGGAGGCATGCTCGTTGTGAAAAGGCATGGAGTTGAAGCATTTGATCCAAAGGATTAAAGAGGAGGAAGAAGACAAGGAGCAGTGGACATTGAAAGGAAACTTCATGGTCAGAAAGCAAAGGCAGTGGCCTTTTTTGCTCTTCAGAGAGAAGGAGAGTGATCGCGACGTTACATTTTTTTTTTCTTTTTATTATTTTAAAAGCTATTATAATTTTTTCATAATTTTTATTTAATTATAAAATAAAATAAAAATAAATATTCCCTAAAAATGTTATTTCCACCAAATTACCGATCGCAATTTCAATATCAACCTCAATTCCTTTAAATTAAGGCATACCTATCAAAGCAAGCCTTTGGGGCTACGTATTAAGAAACCGAACAAAAAGACTAAAATGGCCTCCCCAAAATCCCGAATCAAAAATCCATGCCATCTTCCCATATCGTCTACGGAGTACCGACTACTGAGGCTTGTTTTCAAGACAGTTAGCACACGCACATTGCATACGGGGCAAGGAAAAAACAACGCTAGGAACGATCTGTAAAAAGCGATTTGGGAGGACGAACACGGATGACGAAGACCTCTTTCTCCCTTTAAAGCAATTTGTAAAAAGCATATGAGAAAAAATGCTTTTCACTCCCATTCATAAGCCATTTCCAAATTTCCCTCCATAAAAATTCAGCAGAGCAATCTTTCCGATTCCTAGTGAACTGAAATTGCCATCCATAGATGATCTCCAGGAGATGCTGTCTCGCGTCATTAACTAAATAATTCACATGATTGAAACATTGTTGAAAATCCTCCTTATTCATTAATTTTTTTTCTAGATGTGCAAAATTGTTCGACATTTAATTGGAAAATGATATTGATGTTTGCTTCCTTTAGGTGTCAACAATGCAGAAGGTGCTAAGAAGACCAGAATAAAATTTGTTGGTAACAAAAGTTTCAGGTAACTCCGGTAAGTAACTTTTTATGAATCATAATTCCAAACCCAGGGCAACAAGGCCACGGAAAATTCGGACAAGAAGGCACATTCATGTTATAACCCTCAAGATTTTTGGCTTCCTAAACGGCACATGTTTAAAAATCATCAAATCTAAGTTGTCATGATTTTTAACCACCACCACCACAATGCAGAAACCTTGAGAATTCTGGCATGACCTGATTATATTTCCTTACAAGGATTTTCCTTGGCCTTGCAGTAAAAGGGGGAGAAAAAACTTGTCACAGATTTCCATTGGCTATCACAATCCAAAGAATATTGGCGATTGAAATTTTAATCTGTTCCAAAAGCAGCAGCAGTTTGGCGGAGATGGTATTCATTTCCCTTTCAAAGTGTGCACAATTCAGAATTATAACTGAATCAAATCAAAGTGTAGCTCGAAATCCTGATTTCAATCACAATCGGTCATGGTTCGTGAAGTCTAAAATAATTATTTTCTGGCCTGCAACAAGGACTACACAGGATGGCGAATTTTCTGTCCTCAAAGTAAAACCCCATTTCGCCATCGATAATTGGATTGTTTTTGTATGTGTCTGTGAGGACTGAAACACTAGTTCTAAGCTAGCTGACAAAGCTGCTCATTTTAATTCGAATTAGAATTAAGATGGTTTGACCCAAAAAAGGCACTAATTTACATCACTTCACTGCACTGCACAATTTGTGATACAAGGTTCCCAATTCGCATCCCAGAAGATGAACACGAATCTGACATGGAACAGAGGGCTTAGTAAATTCAAGCAAAAAGTGTACAGCGAGTGAAACCCAGTTCACCTTCTCTAGAAAACACTCTAATAATCTACCATATTCGCTCTATAATCTCCTGCCACTAAACCGTTCCCCAAAAAAAATGGAATAAACAAACAGTGGCAACCCATTTATCACTGTCACTTGTTACCAGGTCCATGAAATGGGAGTGGAAGTATTCTGAGGAAGCTGCGGTATCAAGCAGTGCTGTTGCTGCCATGGCTGCAACCCCTCGGTACCCGTTAATTCACCATGTATTGTTGTTTGGTGTATAGATGAGTTGTTATAATCTTGTTCTTCAATGTCCATGGATGCTTCTTCTCCCATTTGTTCAGATTCCATCGAGTCCGTGTTTGAATCTTGAGCACTTAGTGCAGAACGGAATTGGGAGGGTTCCCATGGCACAAGAGCCAAACGGTTGCGATTATTCTCGTCCCTGCATATTGCTTCTTCCTCTACAGTTTGTCTCAACCAAGGACGTTGATCTGTTGAAATCAAGTACGGAATAAATCATCAACATGACAACAGAAAGAAAAAATAAGTCACAGCGAAAACGGATACTCATCAACACATACTGTTAATCGCCGAAACAACGTCAGAATCGACGGTGAAAGAGAAAGATGACGGAGAGAAAAATGGAGAGTGATTAACGGGCTTGAACAACACAAGAGCCCTCTCCTGGTTTTCCGATGCTGGGGATGGAAATTCCGGAGTAATCGGAGGTTGCTGAGAAACTTCGGCTGGCTGAATCGGCGGCAAATCGGCGTCCTGTGAAAAATTCAAGATAAAAATCGGAATGAAAAATTGTAAAGAGAAGATTGCTATATTTGGGAAAAGAAGAAAATAACTGTGAATAAGGAAAGTACCAGACGACGAATCTTGGTTGCAGAGGAAGAAACCGAGAAATCATTATCAACTTTCCTCTTCATCTTGATGAGCGACGACGAGGACGAAGACGGAAAGAGAGTCCGCTCGAAAGATGTGTACGTGTCTTTCAGGTTTCTTCTTTGATGCTATTTATTATTTATCGAAAGTCATTCGAACATACACTCTAGACTTCTCCAGAACTCGTCCATGATCCAGCTGGATTCTGGGCCATCTCAGATCGTTCGGTGACCCGCTCTTTCCGCATAAATCTTACCAGAAACAAACTGTTGATATTAACATTTAACTAGAATTAGCCCCCGTACAATACATGAAACAAATTTCATCACACAAAATATAAAATATTATAATTTTAAAAATATTAATCTAGTGCATATTACAGCAATGGTTTTTTTTTATTTATTAAACAGAATCTTCAACCTATATTATTTTCTTATTTATTTAATATTTGTTATTTATATATTATTTTAAGATGATTATATCATTTATTTAAAGCATGCAAATGCAATTATATAATAACTTTGTACATTCTAATGTACAAGAGAATATACAAAAGAAATATATCTCATTCTTAATAAATGAAAAAAGCCATAGCTAAAGAATTTTAATGGTGAGAAAATAAAATAGAACAATTTTAATTTTAATGGGCTTTTACTTTATTTATAAAAAAAATTAGATATTCAAGAAAATAAAATTTATATCTTATTGATGTGAATTTCATTCGTGTGATGCCATCTTGTTGAATTAATTACTTCTCATCTCACATGTACCAAACCATTACTGTATAAAAGTTTATATAATGAAAAAAACATGAAAAAAACAAAAAGAAAAGAAAAGAAAGGGAGAGTAGAGAGTTGCCCAAATGACTCCATGTAATGTAATGAATGGGGGACATTAATGCCATGTTTGGTAAGATGAAATTGGGAAGTGAAAGTGAAAGTGAAATTCAAAATTTGGGTTGATTGGTGTGACAGATGTAACATCTCAAAAATTTAATACAAGATTAATTAAATTAATTAAGGATAAATGAGTAATTTTAAAAAAATATATAGAGATAAATAATTTTTGTTAGGAAATTATTGTTGGATTTAATTTACCATAAATTCAAATCCTAAGTTATGATTTTTTTTAGAAAATAAAAATAGTAATAATAATATTATAAAAAAAAGAAGAAAAAGGAACATAAAAAAAAATTGAAGAGGGGGGAAAGTATTTTTGTTTTTGTGTGTGTGTTAATGTGTAAATAGTGCAACAAAAAAAGGGAGGAATGGATTTGCAAAATCCGTGCGCAAATTAAAGAAAACAAGAGAGAGAGAGAGAGAAAGGCGTGAATTTTTGAGTGCGACTCATACTTTGTTTTAAAACCAACACACTCCTCTTATCCTTTTCATTTCTCTTCCCTTTTTCATTATGTGTGCCCGAACACCGAACAGAGAGTGCAAGCATGCGCGAGTCACCGACGATGGAAGCTGGTTTAAGAGATGGAGCTTTATAATAAGATACTTCATATGAGATTTTAAGTATTTTAAAACTAAGTAAGTGTTTTAAGCATTTTTTTAGTCATATTTTATCTTGAGTTACAGATTTTGAGATTTTAAAAAATTTAAAATTTGAAAGAGGGATAAATTTTGGATAAGTAAATCTAGCTATTGAGGTTGCTGCTAGTGTAATAAATATTTTAGAGTATTACTTTATTGATAGAGTTGGAATTTGAGACTTTTGAGTTTATCTCTAAATCTCTATGGAGTAGATTTTTAATTAAATCTAAAAATATAAATTAATTTGTTGATGTTTAGATGATTATTTAAGATGAGAAATAAATTATTATAACTATAAAATAATGATTATAGGCTAGAGATCAAGTTTGCAATTTTTGAGCATTTTTAGGTACAATTTTTTAAAATAAAAAGAAAAATTTTGATATCAGAAAATTATTTAAATGATGTTTTTAGCCAAACTTTAATGAAATTATTGTGAATGAGACTATTGAACCAAGTAGATAGGTTCAAATACATGAAATTAAATTTTAAAACTCAAGAAACTAAGACTAAAGTATTAAAAAAATGAAATAAAATAAAATAAATATTTAGATGTTAAAACATGAGTTAAAATTATGTTAATAATATTATTGATATATCAAAATATGATTGATTGTAGATTAATTTTTTCTTGGCACCATTCAAACTTTGAAAAGTTTTAAAAATGTTGTAACTTGAGGGGTAACCTTTGACCTCTCAAATGTTAAGGTAACTGGAGAAAATCTATTTATACATTTGTATATTAACTAATTATTTATGTTTGTAAAACAAATGAATATATATATATATATATATATCTTTCTCTAAATATAAATTATTATAACTATAAATTAATTTGTTGATGTTTAGATGATTATTTAAGATGAGAAATAAATTATTATAACTATAAAATAATGATTATAGGCTAGAGATCAAGTTTGCAATTTTGAGTATTTTTAGGTACAATTTTTTAAAATAAAAAGAAAAATTTTGATATTAGAAAATTATTTAAATGATGTTTTTAGCCAAACTTTAATGAAATTATTGTGAATGAGACTATTGAACCAAGTAGATAGGTTCAAATACATGAAATTAAATTTTAAAACTCAAGAAGCTAAGACTAAAGTATTAAAAAAATGAAATAAAATAAAATAAATATTTAGATGTTAGAACATGAGTTAAAATTATGTTAATAATATTATTGACATATCAAAATATGATTGATTGTAGATTAATTTTCTCTTGGCACCATTCAAACTTTGAAAAGTTTTAAAAATGTTGTAACTTGAGGGGTAACCTTTGACCTCTCAAATGTTAAGGTAACTGAAGAAAATCTATTTATGCATTTGTATATTAACTAATTATTTATGTTTGTAAAACAAATGAATATATATATATATATATATATATCTTTCTCTAAATTTTGAAATTGTTTGTAATGCATATATGGCTTTGTTGAGATCTTATAATGTGTGATCAAGTTAATTGTAACTTAATGTGAGTAATGAGATTTACTTGATGGTTGGTAATGATGGGCATACTCTTGATTATAAATTATGAATGATGCATAGTGATGAATTGTACATGAGCATGTTGAGTTTTATATGATGTAAATGTGATTTATGTGGTAATATAAAAAATTAACACAAGAGGCTCGATTGAAAAATAATGATTCTTGATGCTTTTGAGCAAGAAAGTTGATGAGTATGTGAGATAATTATTTTCCTCTTTATTTTTTTTATATTATAATTGAAAGTTAATATCTCATGCATCACATTGGTATAAAATCTAACTTTTTTCTCCAAAAACAATTATGATTAGATGAACAGTAACCATTGTATGAAGAAGATATAGATGTTATTTCTTTTCTATGTAAAAGCCTAAAATCTCATTTTAATCAAATGTTTTGATTGGCTATTGGGTAATTGTTGAATCATTATTATCAACAATACCAACACTAGTAAATAATTAAAAATAATATATTTTTTAATAATATCTTATGAATATATTAATACTTTAATATTTAATAATTTAAATATTATTATTTATAAATATTCTATCAAATTTTATAAATCCTCTTTTAAAAATTAACAACTAGAATAGTGTATCTAGTGTTTTTTTTAAATAAAAGGACAAATAATTTCAAATACACCGAAGCTAAAAAGAAAAAGAGAATTAAAACATTACAAACATACAAACATGAAGAAGGTCCAAAGTAAGGTTGATCGAAGGCAAAGAATTTCAAGGTCTTTCAGATTAGTAGATCTATGCTGAACCATACAAACATGACAACTTGTCATTCGTCCTTAAGAATTAAAATTTTAATCACATTAAATAACTTTTATTTTTCTTTAATACAAATAAGGCTCGGCTCCACCCATCACCTTAAAAATTTGGAAGACTTAATTTGATAACAATCATAACTAGATTACGCAATGCTAATGAGTTAGTGGAAGCATGGGTTCCAAACACTTGCAATGCAGATAAGTTTTATCCCAAGTACAAAGATGCTTTAGAAAGTAGTATGAATGATGATAATCTTGAATGGCTTTGCAAAGATTTAACTTGTGACCATCATGGATGATAGAATTTCTAAGCTTCCAAATATTATGGATAAAAATTATGAATCTCCCCGAAAGACCAAAATTCTTGTCTAGAATAAGATGCTTGATAAAATCTTTCAAAGATTGCAGATAGCTTGTACAATTCAAAAAAAACCATATTTTAGTGACAAAGAGCCAAACTAGATAGCCCTCAAAATAAGACATACAAAAAAAGTGAAGAATGGTTTTCTTGACTTGACACCCAAACGGACACTTATCATTACAGAGATGAGCAAACAGGCTCAACCCATGGCTAGCCCACCAATTTTTGCAAGTTAGGTTAGCAAAGCAAACTCATTTTGAAAAACGAGATGGGTTGACTTAAACTATGAAAACATGCAGGTTGTATGGGCTAGCTTGCAGTTTTTTTTTTTTTAATTAGCTGATGGATGAGATATTTGTGGTCATGTGGTATGAACTTAGCCTTGTTTATTTTTTTTTTACCATTGGATTCTACCCATTCTATACATAAGTTGAATTAATTATTTTCATCTAATTAATTATTATAAGCATGATTCAAGGCTAGCCACTGGATTTCTTGACTCTAGATTTGCAAGAACCCTAAGCGTGAAATATAGAAATAATCAAGATTAAGCAAATATGCATATCGATATAGCTAACTCTTAGTTAGGGTTAATAAATGATGAGGTCAAAAAGATCTGTTGAGCATAGTTTATATAATATAAAAACAATCCTAGCTAAGCACTCTAACAGATTCAAACTTAGGGAATAAGTATAGTCTAAATAATTGCAGATTAAGTATTTTAGGAAGAGTTAAGAATTTACATTTATATCATTATTCTTTGACTTGACTAAGTGTCTGTGAGCGAGGAAGTAATTTGGGGACAGCTTATAAATTTATTATATTTTAATGAGGTAAAAAACAAAATGCACACATTTTAATTTATATTAAAATAAAAAATGAAGGGAAAAAAAAGAGAAAGAGTTATTAGAGTGCATGAATGTGTATGGATATTACTAATTGACACTTATTAGAGTATGAAAAGAGCTATTTTAGATGTTTGTAAGTTTATGATACATAAATTTA